CCTCTGGTAGTTGATGTTTTGCTAACTTTTAGACCTACACTTGTTTTGTCTAAGTTTTCCAATATTTTTTTCTTCTTCTTCTTAATGGACTGCAGATAAACAGCCTGTAGTAATTTGGCACTATATAAATAAACTCAATTGAATCGTGTCATGGCAGGAACCTTTATTTGTATACAAGCGCACAGTTATCTTTTCTCAATTACTTGAAGGGATCATGATCATTTAGCACGTCATTGATTTTCGTATCGGCAGACTCGGATCATCCCACTATCCTCTGACAGGATCATAAAGGTTAGCACCTTATAGATTTAATGAGTCTGTCATGCTGTGGGGCTGTGGATTTGTTTATTTCTGTATACACACACACACACAGAAGAAGTGTGTGTCAAAGATGCAGTGTTGTGCTTTTGTTTTTGTTGTTAATGTAAAAGAAAAAAAAATCTTTTGTCTTTTTATCATTAGCCTTTGATTTAAAAACTGTTCCCTGCCAAACTTCCTCCTAGTGTTTGTTTTATTCCAACTCTTTCTGCAGCTGCCCTTCACTCTGACTTTGATCCTTTGCTTTGCATCTCTCTGTCTCTGTGTGTGTGTGTGTGTGTGTGTGTGCCCCGGAAAAAAACAGCAAATGAAGTCAAATGCCTTGAAGCTTCACTGCGTTTAACATTCGCGCTCGCTGTGACAGCTTTACGGCCTTTCCCAGAGAGCAGGGCTTGGTTTGCCTCTCCACTTAAAATCCCAAGAAACATCTGCCGTCATTAGTGTTATACATGCACACAGCTCCACCGCTGTCCCTGCTACTCATTATTTATTTCCCTTTGATGAAGAGAGCTAAATGTTGCACGTAGCCGGACTGACTGCTAATTTTACAGCGATCAGAAAACACCTGTAAAGTAGTTTACAGTCTTCATGAGACTTGACATGGTCGTAAGTGTTAAATTCACATACCTAAGGCCTTAGACTGTCATCGTTTTTATTTATTTATTTTTAAGTATGTTTACCTTAAATAAGTTAGTCACAGGTAGGACTAAATAATCGTAAACTTTGTATTTGCTTTTCTCATTGCAGTTTTCCGTCAGGCAAAAGGTTGAGTCACACGCAGTGGTCCTCATTGCTTTCTGTGACTCACTGCTAACATACCCTTGCTAAGCTAGAGTTTTTCCGTCTATCATGGGCAAGTGCGAATTTATCACCAGTTGGCTGGACGAAGTTCGCACATTTCTTTTGAGATATATCCTTCGTAAATTCCATTAACAATGGTCTTAAAAGGTTTTTAATTTGAGTTTGTGAAGCTTGTCACGTTGCAATCAATTAATTGCACGATAAATTAAAACCAGCTCAATAATTTTCATTTACGTGATTTATATTTTTTCTTCTTCCTCTTTCTACCAAAAAACTGTCCGGTTCTTTGGCCTGAACTAGAACTAGAACTTTTTTTTTTTTTTTTTTTTTTTTTTTTTTTTTTTTGAAAAAAATTTTTTATAAATTTTTTTTCAATTTTTTTTTGTTTTTTTTTTTTTTTTTTTTTGAAAAAAATTTTTTATAAATTTTTTTTCAATTTTTTTTTGTTTTTTTTTTT